TGTGCCCAGTTCAGGGCAACCGAGGATGAGAAAGGTATCATTAAGCAGGAGGGAGTCCAGTGGGTGGGTACTTAAGTAAATGAGGGAACTGGAGAAATTTTGAGAAGAGGCTGGGATACAGAACTTATTTAGCATAGGGAAGCTGGAGGGGCATATACCTGCAGTCTGTCACTGTCTTAAGTGGATTTTATAGAATATGAATCCAGATACTTGCCTTCCTCTCTGCACCTCTGAAAAGCATCTGCTGCAGCAAGGGAAATTCTACCTGTATGCAGACTGGACTGTGAGAGCAGTTTTATTGGAGTAGATTTCTTAGAGGGTTTATGGGATCTCCATCTTCGTAGACATTTAACACTTGGCAAGGTTTAAAGCCAGATATAATCCAGCTTTGAAGTTAGCCTTGCTCTGAGCTGGGTTGAACTAGGTGACCTTCAGAGATTCCTTCTGATCTAAGTTCTTCCTTGAGTCTATTCCCTGAGATCAGCAGCTCTTCCACAAATAAATGATGTGGATCAGGACAGCCCTTAGTAGCTCATGTTTCACTTTTGTAGCTTTTATGGAGAGATCAGCAAGCTAGCTTTATAAGCAGTGACAGTGAATGACAGGCTTTTGGAGGGAGCATGCAATAAATAGATTATTGTTTGGCAGTGGTTATCTGGCAGAGTTATTTAGTGGTTCTGCTTCCGTAGTTGAAGCAGTAAACCAGTTTTCATGAATGGGAAATAGCAAAAAATTACAAGCAATTGGGAGTGGAATTTGGAGTATTAGTAGATTGGATTGGCAAAATACCTTAGGTTTGTCAGAGGGTTCTGTTGCAAGAGGCAGTTCAGAAGTAATCTGCTTTGACCTCTTTTCAGAAGCAAGGTTAAAGAAGTGAGTAATACTCTGGGAATGAACAGTACAATGTATTTTCTTCTCTTCACCTTGCCAGTATGTAGCTCTTGGCAGTGCTGTTTTTTTCTGTCACATGTTACTTAACATAAGCAACAAATCCAGCTCTAATAGCAAGCCAGATTGTATCAGTAGATTACCAGTGCTCTCCTTACAATCCTTGAAAGCTCTGGCCTAATCGCTTATCTGATCTACTTTCTGTCTTTTTTGAATTGGTCTGAATAAGCAGTCAGAGTCAGAAAAGTTGCAGGGAAAAGCCATATTCCTTTTCCTCCTCTTTCGGCACTGTTTTTAGTGCTTGTAGGCACAGAAAAAACAGAAGTTAGTTATTACAGACAGCTATATCTCCTGTGAAGTTTTGTGTCCTTTCACGCACTTTACCTCCGTATCCGTTTCTGTAATGACCAGTTCAAAGGCTTCTATCATTGATCTACTTAATCTTCTCCCACCCATGTCTCCTTTCCTTCCCAGAAGTTCAGCAGATTTTTGGATGCAGAAAAAGCAAAGCTGTCAAGCTAAGGGTGTTTCTGCTCATGTGTTTTCTTTCTGATGATACTCCCTCACCTCTTGCCTTTAAACTTTCAATTCAGTGTCTGAATCTAGCTTATCCTTTTGTCTGAGAAGGAGCACATCTTAGAGTGTAAGTCTTTCATAAGTTTTTCTGTTGTGTAAAACCTACACAACCACTTAATTGTATTTGGAACTGTCCTAATCTCTTCTCAGATTGACATCTTGAGAGTTTTAATGCTGATAGTTAATCAGTTTGTGTTGCTTTATTGTTATTGTTTTGGTTTGTGGCTTGTTCTTTTGATTTTGTTTCTCTTTTAAACATAGCATTGCTGGTAGAAACCTCTTCCCCATGCATATGGGGGAAGCCATATCTGAGTATGGCTGGATGATGGAGGCTATTTGACATCTGAATTATTAGCTTACACCTGTTTTAGAAATGAACAATGCTGTTGAAAGGTATGCTTAGATTAAGATAAGGTTGTAGACAGATGAACTGGAAGGTACTAAAGATTATTGCTTCTAATCACTTGCCTTTTTTTGTTTTCCTTCTTACTGACTGTGTACTCCTGTGTCCCACTCCTGCTCTGTCTGATCTACACACAACTGTTTTATGCTGTTGCCCTCAGTCTCCTGTCAAAATCAGTTGGGTTGTGTTACCTTGACAGGAGTAAGTGAAACAGTGACTACAGCTACAGGCAGGTTTGAGAGGATCTGTAGGCTGGGTGAGGGTAATGGGAGAGACTGATCTGAGCCATTGGGTCCTCTAGCATCTTACGTCTAGTTTAGCAACAGTCTGGAGCTTGTCTGACTGTAGACTCCGTGTCCATCTTGGGGAAGCTACTAGGGGCTAGGCATTGCACTTCCTATTCCCACTTTGTGTCTTTCCTGTGTGGATGAGCCACTGGACGTTCAGAGTTGTTTTGAACACATTGTATGTTCTATCTAGAAAATAGGCTTTCTAAGTCAACAATTATTTTGAAGGAATAAGTATTAGGTGTAATTAGGATTTACTTAGTCATTTATTCTGCAGAGACTGAGATGTCTGCAGCAACCTCTTATCTCTTGTGGTATCTATACCAGTGTTCTTTCATGTTGCAGCAGGTCTTTTTGCATTGGAGGCAGGCAGATTTAGTAGCTTTTTATCTGCACTAGAGTACAGCTCTTAAGTCTCTTTGGCTCTCTGCCGAGACTTAGACTAAGATCTAGACCTACCCAGGGATTTGAGCTCTTAAGTTTGTTCAAACTTCAATATCAGCATGAGCATAATGAATTTCAGTGTGTGTCCTCTTAGTTCCAGAAGAACTCTCCAAGCATCTGTGTTATAAATGCGATTGGTTTGGTGGATGTTTACTTATTGGCAGTCTTTTGTGTATGTTTATTTTGAAGGAGGTAAGGTAATATGCCAATACACAGTGTATGTGCTACACCTGTGAGCAGTCCAGTCCTTGGTCTGTTGATTTTACAGATAATCCTTTAATAGGGGAGAGGAAAGTGATTAAAGTACTTCAACTGTAGATCTTCTGTTGTTCAACAAGAGACAGGGCATTTCTATTGGGGCAGAGGGAGATGGCTTATAAATAAAAAGTCTAATGTTTTAAACTATAGTTTTGTTCTTCTGTTAGCTCCCAAAGCCTGCTTTAATTTGGAGGCTTTGGGCCCTGAGGTCTCTTTGCTGCTGCCTAGAGATGTACAGCAGTGTTTCTTCATTTCTTGCACATTGCTGAAGGAAGGCTTACTGCTCACCTCGAAGGAATGTTTAGTTGGCATGTCCATAGGGTATCTGTTCTATTGCTTGAGCTGTTGAGCTGGCATTGCAGGAGTATATAGCTTCAAATTAGCGTAAGGAATTCTTGCCTCTTTTGGACATAAGAACGAGTAGAGTCTGTCGTTTAAAAGGTTTTTATTAAACTGTTGCTCTCACTATCAAGTAGAGGGCGATTGCAACTTTCTTCCCCCATAGCTCCCCTAATTTCTTTTTATACCGAAATATTTAAGTGGATTAATTAAAATACTGATGTTTCTTCTACTTTGTCCAATCCAGCTCAGCTTGTGAAAAGCTCAGATAAATGGAATAGCTTTATGCTGACCCTGTAGTTTGGCAGTTGCTTTGCTTATCGTTTGCCATTGTGTGAGAGATCTGGTAAAATTCTAGACTTCCTATTTGTTCATTTATTTCCTTTTGGACTGTTGTCATCTTGTGTTGCAGCTGCAGTTACTGCTGCCAACTGTAATACCATTTGAGCCTTAAATATGACTAATGTCTGTGCCTAATACTGTGAAGATATATAATCTGTACTTTTTTTTCCAGTAAAACTGGAAGTCGGGAGTGTTTCAGTATGCTGCTTTTACCACTAGCTGTATGAAAATGTAGTTTACCCTGTGAGAGAATTTCCTTTCCTGGAAAAATCCTTGGAACGAGCAGTATAGGGACAAGTGAAAAAGTCTGTGGACTATTAGAACCGACTGTCTCAGGCTTGAGAGGAAAAAATAGATGTACTTGCTGTGCAAAGTCCCTCTCGAGGTTTTTGACAGCAGTGACATTTGGGAATCCAGTGTGGTGGGGATCTCAGCACCATCCGGACAAATAAAAGGAAATGTGCCAGTTTCCATTGCAGCTTGTTTATTTAACAACTGTGTGCCTGCGAGGAAAGTAATGGATTTATGAGTTCATGTTTTCCAGCAAACTCCTGTCTTGGGGATCGGGAGTAAGATTGATTTGCTCTCTTGCCAGAAGAGTCTTTGACCTACAAACACGATTGTCAAATGCCTACTGCAATTTTTGGTGAACTATTTATAGTTCTGTGTTGTATGTAATCTGTATTCACTCATGCAGATATTACTTATTACAAAAGTGTAGAATTAAAACAAGCAAAACCCAAGTAAATATCTTTTTCTTTTTAAGCTATTGTTTGCTTCTGACTAATTCTGTTCTTTTAAGGGGGAAAAAGCTACAGAAACCATACAAACTTCATGAAGAGCTTGTCTAAAGACCAAATGTAAATACTGAAACTAGTATTTCAGGCTGGTTTATTTTTAATAATTATGATCTCTTGAATTGATGTGGTTATAGACTAATGGGGATGATTATTCAAAAAAGGATTTAGATGTAGCTGTAGGGATACTTTATATAATAAAGCTATGTAAAGCACTTTATATACCACTGAGATAGTTTAAAGCAATAAAGAAAATCACACTTCTGCTGGAAAATGTGTACATTTGTACCAACCAGTACTCTGTGGTAGACCAGATGAAGTCACTGAACATAGCAGCTCTGAAGAGAAACCACTGGAAAACTTCTTAGTGCTGTCATGATGATAGTGAGTGAATAAAATATCCTTACCGTAAACGTTCCTGTGGTATGAAAGAGGCTTTGAATGTTTCTCAAGATGGGGAGAAAAAATGATTCCATGGAGAGTAATTCAAAGACCTAATTTTGTTTAAATCAGGAATGCAGCTTTATTCATCTCAATATGAAACACTATGGAAAGAGTTTTAATGTTTTAAACTTTTTTGTCACGGTTCAAGAAAGATAAATAGTTTGATATACAAGCTGACTGATTATAAGCAGGAAAGCTGAAGTAGTACTGTGTCTGTAATAGGGACATCAAGTGACTTCAAGTATGGACTGCTGCCGGGGACATCAAGTGACTTCAAGTATGGACTACTGCCGGGTACTTCAAGTGACTTCAAGTATGGATTGCTGCCGGGTACTTCAAGCGACTTCAAGTATGGATTGCTGCCAGAATCTTGGCCAAAAGATGCTTGGGAAAATGGCAAGTATATCTGATGCAGAGCAGGTTGCTTTCTTTTGCTTCTGCTATAAATTCTTTAACTTGTGTGCCACTGCTGGTAATATTTGATTAACTTCCATAGAGATTTATTAGATTACATGTTTACATATTCTTCCCCCTTTCCTTTTACCCTTTTGGTTAATGTCAATAAAGCTGCTTCTCTGAACTCAAACATGGAAGGGTGAAAACAGAATATGCCTTAACTCTTGTATCTTGCCTCAGTATGTAGATACCTGAAGTTCTCGGTGGTCTGATGTTGGTTTGTTCTGTTGGCTTTTTTAACCTTCCTTAGTAAGCTAACAGCAGATAAATAGACTTTGAATGCTTAATCAACTTTTTATCTGTTTATAAAAAAGTGCATCTCAGTATTCTTCTCTATATAAATAAAAATTTAATCACAGTAAATGCTTTGAACTCAGTGCAGCTATAACTAAAGCCCTCTTCAGTCAGAGTGGTGTTGTGAAAGAGTAGGTTATACAGCTTCTGTGCTTTAACCTGTTCAAGTGAACAATTATATGTAATTATTTTGTCTGAATACATTTGGAATGTATCCCAAAAACACCACATCTAAGACTGTTATTGCTAGATCCTTAAAATGTATCATAGTAAGAAGAGGAAGAACTTAAGAACTTACAAGAGCAGACCGTAGTGATGCCTGCTTCTTCTCTGTAGCACTTTGAAATATTACTTGCGTATGTGGTTTATGGTTTACTTCAAGGAATTTCAGTTTTACAAGGGAAGAAATAGAGGCATCAGAAGGTGAAATTCACTAGTGAGCAAGAGATTAAAACAGAGGCCTTTTGAGATCTGCCTTCTGTTAAGTTCCTATCCTGCAGCCCTGATGCCCGTCTGTCCAGACCCCTGCTGATGTATATAGGACTGCAGTTGAACCCTAAGACTCAGAAACTGTTTTTTCCATGTAATCCATTACATGACATAGTGACATGCAACTTATATGAGTACTCAGACATACCAAGGCACACTTGAATACCAGCAAAATTTAACTTGGATTTCGTTATGAGTTTTTGATGCTTTTTAACTGCATGCATCTTGTACAGAGGCATGCACGTAACTGGCTAGTTTTGTCTTCTTCCTGCCAGTGTGAACTTTAAAAACTCTCATACATAGTCATGAGGCCTTAGAGCTTTTTGGATGCTCCCTTTGTATATGGTTATAATCATGTTCATAAATTTCTTGTCTCACAGTAAGTCCAGTCTATATCTTTTTCTCAAAATTGTTATTCTTGTGTGGCCTTCTTCACAACTTCACAACAGAATCCTAAGCTCTTCTGTTTCACAAAGCAAAAAGCAGCTGTAGTAAACCTTGGTTTTGCAGATAACCTTTGAGCAAGCTGTGTTGTTCCTAGTCCAAGCAGTATAAATAACTCTCTTCGTAAGAAAGAACTGGAATATTGCGACTTCCAGGAGTCTTTTCTGCTCTCATTTTTTCTTCTCTGCTTAAATTAAATTAGACTTGGAGGGCAGAATAGGTAAGATCTGAACTAATCACCCTTTTAGCTATTTCAGAATCATGTTGTCTTGTGCTGTCCTCCTTTTGTCAATGTCAGCATTCGTGTTTACTTGGTTATATCTTATTAAAATTTTGATAGTGATTTGTATCTTCAGGTAGGCGGTTCTTGCACATGGTTCTAAAAAAAAAAAAATATTGGGAGAAGGTTTTAACTGTCTGAGTGCCACAGAATCCAGAGCAAAGTGGTTTTGATTATAGTTGACCTCTGTAATGTGGAATACTGCTAACTGGTCACTTACTCTGACTCATGAAATAATAATTATTTTCAGATAATTGATCTGCATTCCTGTACTAATGTTCCTTGTTTACAAATAAGTATTTTTTCTAGTAAGATCACACATGCTGGGCCCTCCAGTATTTGTGGGTTTTCTGCAGGTAGACATTGTCCTGATATGGCTGATGAAAACTCATGTGGATGCTTTATTGTTTTGGCGTTTGCTTATTTTTGTTCACCAGGCAGAACAGACTGAAAACATCTTTTCATCATCTTTTCTACTGATGGCTTGTTTTCTTGTAGGCGATTCCTCTGCTTTAATCATGAACAAGCTGAAGTGTCCACACTGTAATTATGTAGCCAAATACAGAAGAACACTAAAGAGACACTTGCTCATTCACACAGGCGTGAGGTCTTTCAGTTGTGACATCTGTGGGAAGCTGTTTACTCGAAGAGAGCACGTCAAGAGACATTCCTTGGTAGGTAGCTTCAGTGTGTATGCGTCTTGTGTGCAATGCATGTGTACAAGTGGAGTCTTCATTTACGTTCATCACAGCGTAAATAAATTGGGTGATGATATATATCTACTTAATAACTGCCTCTTGTTATTTCTGGGAATATGCAGTATCAAAAAATACTGAGAGAATATTTCAAGGTAACTTGATATTATTGTTGAGAAGATGATGGTATTTCTTCAAGCTGTCATCTTAAAAGTACAAAGTAAAATACAAAAACAATCCTTATTTTACAACGTTTTAAACCTGCTTCATCGTGAAGGTGTTTGTCTAGGTCTCTGTAGCCTCCTTGCAATTGGCTTCTTGTTCCCGAATAAGTAGAAAATGCTGCTTGCTTCTAGGATTTTATCTAAATGCAGTAAAGAGCTGCAAGTCTTCCCAGCTTTCCTTTCTAACCTGTTATTATATAGTTTAAATCAGTAATATTTTCTCTAAAGTCATTTAAGAATCCTTTTTTAAAATGATGGCTTGAATCTTATAAGAATGTAATTCTAGAAGGTATTGAAGAACAGGAGAGGGTACGACTTTACATGGGTGGATAGTGATAGGACAAGGGGGAATGGTTTTAAACTGAGGCAGGAGAGGTTTAGGTTAGATATCAGGAGGAAGTTTTTCACAGAGGCTGGTGACACTCTGGAACAGGTTGCCCAAGGAGGCTGTGGATGCCCCATCCCTGGAGGCATTCAAGGCCAGGCTGGATGTGGCTCCGGGCAGCTTGGTCTGGTGGTTGGTGACCCTGCACATAGCAGGGGGATTGAAACTAGGTGATCATTGTGGTCCTTTTCAACCCAGGCCATTCTGTGATTCTGATACGTAGTAGTTCTCAGATTTCTTGAACTGTTCCACAGGTAGGCAGCTTCTGTTAATTGTTATGAAGTAAATCTTAGAACCAGTGTTCCTTACATTCCACTTGAATTCTCTCATCTTCAATAAATATGTTTCCACCATGAAACTGCTCCCTCTCATCCTGCTCTCCTGTTTTTACTTGGTGAAGACATGAGTGCATGAATGAATGATATCAGTGGCTATGGTGCTACCAAGTCTGAAGAATCTTGTCCTGTAGCATGTATAGGTGACGGAGGTGATGATGGCATGGAGCAGTTCTGTGACTCAGTAGAGGAAGTAAGGTCATTATTGCCTTGGTGGTGACACCGTGGAGGTGCCTTACTCCAGGAGGTAGCAGCAATACCCTGTAGGTCTTGTAACAAGACCAGTAGGGTGGCACTTCAGTTTTCTGTCCTGCAGTATCTGACCAGGTCTTGGAGATAAAGATGTTTCCTCCAGGAAAGATGAAGTCAAACAAGGTGAAAATTTGTTGTAGAGTCAGTTCAGTTCTGTATTTAACCTGCAGTGCACAGAGGATTCAGAACACCAATTCCTCCCCCACCCCACTCAAGGAACATCTAAAGAATTTTACTTTGTGTAAAACAGTATGGTAAGAAGTCTAGGTGCTGGAGAAAAATACATCCTGTATCAGCTGTAGAGATTAGGAAGGACTAAAGTACTTATTTGTATCTTGGCCTAATTTTGTGTTTTTCTTCTCTTAGTTACATAGTCTGAAATTCATTCTTCCCTGTTCTTAAAAGCACAACTCTGTAACACTTGCCTAATTGGCTACATATTAAGATTTATTTTCCTCAAGTTAGTCCACAGTAGTTCAACTTTGTGTGCCGGCTCACCCTAAGAAAGAAGGTGGAAATGGAGTGAAAAGATATTAAACTTGGTCTTGCTTGACTGGCTAGTGGGAGTAGGGAGGTGGAATGCTCTTCCATTTCCCACAGAACTTAAACTCTTGTTTGTGGTGGTTCTGGAGCTTAACATTGTAAAGGTAATTTTCTAAATGGACAGACAGCATGTGTGCAACAAGCTTATGTTGTCTTCAGTGCCATTCAGTGGCTTTGTATGAACAGTGAGTGGCCAATGACTGCTTATCGAACAGGCAGCTGTTTTGCTATCTGCTGAACAGTAAGGTGATGGTTGGTTGTGAGAATAGCTCAAGTGGAAATGGATCTCCAACAGTACTCTTTCTCTGAACAATACTGAGTTGATATTAAATGTTTTTTTATTAGTAAATATCACTAGTAGTATTCTAGTATGATGTGTGTATTTTCAGCTGTTAATTTTTTCTTACCCATAGGTGCATAAAAAGGATAAAAAGTATAAATGCATGGTATGCAAGAAGATCTTCATGCTAGCAGCCAGTGTTGGAATAAGACATGGATCTCGACGCTATGGAGTTTGTGTAGACTGTGCAGATAAATCTCAGCCTGGAGGCCAAGAGGGAGCAGACCAGGTGCAGGACGCAGATTTCCCTAGGGATGAAGAATATGAAGAAAATGAAGTGGGAGAAGGTGATGAAGAGCTTGGTGATGACGTAGAAGAACAGAATGACCAGTCTCGATGGGATGAATCTGGCGAAGTTTGTATGCCTTTAGATGACTGACGAAAGCATATGACTTCAGGGTGCTGCAGATGGACACTATATGGATTGACTATTTGAATTTTGGACTGAAGGCTTGTGAAATATGGTACAGGCTGGATGGTAGTTAAGTTGCTGTGAAAAATGTAGGGTCAAAGCCTTATAGCAAAAAAAAAAAAGGATTATTAATTTTTTTATGATATTTGCACAGGACTGTACAGCATACAACCGTTTGGTTGAATTATACAGAGTCCTCACATCTACAGTCAGTTATCAAAAGAAAAATGTATTTTTTATTATTTATAGGATATAGCTACTTGGGTCCTATTCAGATATAGTAACTGTACTTACGTTACACATTCATGTATCTGTTAACATGAATGAAGATTGCAACTTGGTATGGAAGTACAAAGACAGCATCCCCAAATCCACTCATACTTCTAGTGAACTAGTAATGCTAATTTGGACTAGTGGGCTTGCTTCCACAAGCATGTCTTTGCCATACAAACTTTACCTCTCCCATATGCTGATAGGTGAAAGCCAATTACTTAAATATGCATCATGGATAATGCCAAGAATTTATTGAAATTTGGTTTTAAAAGTTTTGGCTTTAAGCCAGCAGGTGGTATAGGTGATAAGCACTGGAGAAGTTAATAATGGCATTAATTTAGTCTATTTCTTCACAGTTTTGAATTTTCAAGAAAGTTGCTATTGACTTAACAGTTCCAGAGTAATGTTGCAGGAGAAATGACCGGTTATCAAAGTAATAGGCTGATCGGAGCATGGGCTGCTCTTCTGCCACTTAGTCAAAAGAGACAGTCATATTAAAAAGTGTCTGTAATAAAGCTTTCTTCTCCCTCTAAGGCTCCCCCCTTCACATTTTTTACTTCCCTGCTGTATACCTCAGTCCTACAAAATAAAAGTCCAAGGAATGGAGAAAGTGTCATATTAAACAACTTTTTGATATATAGTTTCTTGTCCGCTTTTTGGCTAGTTGATGTGATATAAATTGGACACTAGGCTCTTGTGCCCATCGTTCGTCATTTAAAATGAACACAAACTATTTTTTATTCTTTTGTATTTAATGGGATATTGCTAGCATTTAATACAAACCAGTTACATTAACTCGTTGACCTAATTTGCTGGATTTTCTTTTTTTAAAAAAGGAAAACAAAACAAAGTCCAAAGCAAAACAACGCTCTTTGAGTTGTGTACTTTTCAGGATGATCTGCTCCCTATATTCTTTATTTCAAATTTTCTATAAGGCATTTAAACTTGAATTTTTGTAGCGATGTGGATTTTTTTTCTTAAGCTTGTAATATTGTACCAATGATTTTCAGGCCTCTTTCGTAGGGAGGGGAGGGCATTACATCTTTATCTTAAACTCTTGTGTGTTGTCTAGCCGAAGACAAACGAATTCAGGCAATCATCAGAACAATCCATCTGATGTGCTGTTATGTCACAGCGAGTAAATATGCAGAGCATTTATCATAACACATAGCTAGGCCAGTGTGACAGTACTGTATAAAAACCAATTGAGGGTCACCATATTCTTCAGCTTTGTTTAATTTTAAAAGGAGTATATTTTTCCTATTTTATATCAGGTAACTAAATTATGCTAGTTGTGTGATAACCTTGAACTATGCTTTGATGGACAGAATCTTAATGGTGCTCCATCTGATCCAAGTTGGTATGTATTTAAAGAGACGAGCTTTACTGTTGTCCTTTCCATCAGTAGAACAGTAACATGATGTTAAGACGTTGTTTTTGCTGATTGAAGCTGAGATGAGTTTGAACTACAGTTATATGGGAATTAAAATACCTTTTTTTATCATCAGTTTGTTTCACTGGTAGTTTCCATGTTATTGTAAACCTGACAGATGATTAGTTTTCTCGGGGCGGGGTGGGTGGGTGCCTTTTTCTTTTCTTTTTTTTTTTTACACTGAAGAATACATCTTTATTCTCATTGTTCTATACTGAAACAAGTAATGTGTAATTCTGGTGGGGTCCAAAGTAGAAATTAGTTGGGCAAAGATGATATGAATGAAAAAGTATTTTAAACGTTAAAGTAATGTTCTGCTTTGTGAATATGTAAGTATAGCATAAAGATTTTTCCATCCCATTTATCCCCTTTAAAACCATAGTTTACAATTGGTAGATCTGTCTATATATATAAATATATATATATATATCTGAAATTCACCTAAATCTGCTTTATTAGAATACTGCTCACTTAATGCTTAGAAACTGGACCTGGCTCTACATTCTTAATGTATCTTCCTTTTTCTGTTGATTTTTTTGTTTGTTTATTTTTTCCTCGAGGTATGAACTTATTCTCTTGGAACTGAATCTTCTTTTACTACTTAAATCATTTATGTATATCTGGTAAATTATGACCAAATTTGTTGTTAGACTGCATACAGTAAATTGAAATATACACTTGGTACACTACAGAATTGTTGTGCTTTATTCTGGTTATATTTGGAAAAGCAGGATTTAATAGAAATCAGTGTTATTTATAAATATTTGGTTATTACTCACTGGCCTTAATGTTCTGTTGCGTTGTGACAATCATTGTTTCCTTGGTAGTGATGAGCTGTGCTTTGGTGTTGCGTGTAATTGCTCTTGGTAGAGCTGGAGGGAAAGGGATGACCACTGCAATGTGACACTAACTCTTCAGCAGGTGGTGTGAGGCGTTTAATGGTGATCCTGTCTTTTCGTGCTGGAGAACCAAATTGATTTGTTTGAATGTGATCTGCTGCTCTCAGATGTTACTTTAAATATATTACTTTGCATAAATTTCCTAACAATTACCATAAAAGGGACTACTCAAATTTCTTTACCAGTGTAAAAGGTAGGAACAAATTTGCCCTGGAACCCATCTTCCTCTTAAATGCTGTAATAGACATCATAGAGAATTAAAAAAAAAAAACAAAACAAACACTGCCCTTAGACTGTCTCCCTTATCCTTCTAGATGTTCTAATTTGATACCCAGTAACGTATTTTGTTTTCTGGTAAAATACAGAAACAGAGGGTTTGAAAGGGACATCTGGGGATTGAATCCAGTGCCCCTGCTGAAGGAGGATCCTTACTGCAGGTCACACAGTAAAGAAAGCATCCAAGCAGGTCTTGAATACCTGCAGATGAAACTGTACAGCCTCTCTGGGCAGCCTGCTCCAGTGCTCTGTCATCCTCACAGTAAGGAAGATTTTCCTCACGTTCACGTGGAACTTGATGTTCTGGTTTGTGCCCATTCTGCCTTGTCCTGTCACTGGGTGCCACTAAAATGCCCGGCCCCATTCTCTTTTGACACCTGATAGCTTCCAAACTAAGTGAGAGTTGCTTATATGGGGCAATGTCATGCAAGAACAGTTTTCTGAAAAGGGCCGTGCGTGTTTGAGATGGACAGATGAGTTCTCGCTGCTCTGTGGCTGTCTATTGGCAGAAATGTTGTGGAGAGCGAGTTTCCTTGTTTTGGTCACTTGAAGCAGTGGTGATGGCCTTCTAGAAGAAAATACGCAGAGCACTTTCTTGCAGGAAATTATGGTGCCAGACCAAATGGAATCACTAAGTAAATTCACTTTGATTAAAAGTCTCTGTCAGAGGAGGTGTAACGGCAGGAAGGCAGTATAATGTGTTTTGTGCCTAAGTGCAATTAGTTATGACACGTATTTTTCAGTTGTAATGTCAGGTGCAGCTTTCAGACAAAATGGATTTTTTTCAGTGGCATAGAAAACGTACATATTTACATTAACCAATGGGTCATCTAGTCAAATAACTTTATGAAGTGAAACCAGTTTTTAAGCCAAAGAGGATGCCTGGTTGTCGGCACAGTAATGCAGCTGAAGTAAGGGTTAAGACTGGGGGTCCTAATAAGGATGCTGTTACTTTGCAGGCATGTGTATTTCTGCAGATGCACAGTTTTTTATTACTTGCCTTCTTCCTTCAGAGCAGAAGAGCATCATCAGATGACGTTTGAGGCTGTGGCATCTGATAGGTTTCTGCTGGTTCACTGCAGTCATTCTGCTGAGCAGAAGATGCTTTCTTTGCCTAGCTGTAGATTGGTAAGGCTTGTAATAGGTTCCTTTAAGGTTTTGGCCACCTGGTGATGCAAGTGTTTAATCCGTAATATTTTTGCAGCCTGCTGACTCTATGTGAATGCAGAGGTGTCTTCGTAAGACTGTACTTTATTGGCTTATCCTTCTTATTTTGTTGTTAAATAGGCTTGGCAACCAATATGGGAAATGAAAACAAGATAATCAACCCCCACTCCTCCTGCCAAAAGAAGGTGAAAAAGGAGAAAAATGTTAGAAACAGTGTGATAAGAAAACAGTTTGGTTTAGAGTTATTACAGTTCTGCTTATTACTCAAACGTTTCAAACATTTCACTATTTCTCTGTAGCACAATTTGGTGACAGCCTTTTGATGAAGGCACTATGCTAGAATCTGAGTTTTGGTTTCGTTGGTCTTTTCCAGACTAATAGCACTGAGAAGTTTTTCTGGAGGTATTTTACCATATGGTGCAGTTGTAGCATCCTTCTGCACTGTGGGTGTAATCTGTTGTCCGTTCGCTTATTCTATTAATGCGTACTCTTTAGAACTGACATTTGTGTGTTTTAATAGCACAGTGTGTTTCACTGAATGCCATGGTAGAGGTTCAGCGCTGAAAAAGAATTAAGTTGTTATTATATAAATATGCTATATAAATATAGCAAATTTATTTTGCTATAAAATTTAGCAAGTTTATAATGAAATATGCCCTTTTTCAATAAAGAAAATACATGTTTGAAATCCAGGGGCAGGAGAAGTGGTGAGCTGGACACTTGGAGGTGTTGAAGATTATATATATACACACACACTGTTTTTTAAAAGAATTTTTATGTTAAAAAGAAAAAGTAAAAAATACATTAGGAGGCTTCTATGAGTTCAGCCAATTTCATTTTCCAATTTCCTAGGTACTTTGTATTTCACATTGCTGCGATTTGAACAAATGTTGAAATTAAGATGTGTAATGTTGTGCTTACCTGAATTGTTCTGGATTAGCTGCTTCAGAACGTGGACATAAATCATTTCTCACACATTGATACGTAAACAGTTCCAGGAATTCTAATAATTTGTTCCTCAACATTTAACTTACCGTACTGCAAATAAATTTGAAACGAATTATTTAATTCCATCTGTTTTTTGTGCTCTGCCTTCTCACCCTCTGCAAGTAGATGCAGAGAAACTTTTTCAGGTGGATAAGTGATTATGTACAATTTCCTGCATGTAATTTCTAACACAGAGCTTATAATTTAAGCTTCCCTTCTAATAAGGCAGATCATGTTAAGATAACTGGTATCTCATCTCCAAGCATTCTAAAAACTAGATTTTAGGCAAACTTCAGCTCAATTTTGAGCTGACTTAAAGGATGGGTGCTGAATAGATTGGATCCCTTCAGAAGTGGTCGTGCTGTGTGCTTAAACCCCTTGCTGTGGTGTTTTGTTTCTTCTCTCCAGCTACACCAACCTCAGGTGCTTCAGAGAAATGCTTTCACCTGGGTTTCTCAAAAGCTGCTGGAGTGGTTAATACTGGATGTGTTTGAACTTCAGACTTGTGTCAAAATGATTGTTGCTTTTGTTAGGTTATGCACAAGTGGGTTCCCTCAGTTGTTCAGAAAGCCATCAGCCCTTTGTCAATACTTTTGAGGGCTTGAGAACTTCAGTGTCTTGTTTGCCCTGCAGAGAAAATGTTAAGTTCTGTGTCTTGGATAGATAAGTCTGTTGTGTAATATTATGTGATGCTTTCTTGTTACATTTATGTAAACTATTATGTTTTGCCCAAGTATGAGTTCTTGTGCCTAAGAACTTTAGATTTAACAGCATTAATTTTGTACTTGTAGTTAGAATGGAGAGATCATGAAAAAGAAATAGGTGAAAATTCAGCAAATTCAATTGGATAGAAATGAATATGAGGGCAGCAGGAGTGGTAGAAGATGGACTGCAAAGTTTGTAGGAAGGTCGTGGAAACTCAGTTTTGAGTGAAATGTGCTGGACAGGACCCAGCAGTGTGCCATGGCAGCCCAGGGAGCCAACCATGTGCTGGGCTGCATCAGAAGTGCGGCCTGCAGGGCGAGGGAGGTGAGCCCTGGAGAACTGTGTCCAGATGTGGAGTCCTTAGTACAGGAGTGATGTGGACCTGCTAGAATGCATCCAGAGGAGGGCCACAAAATGATCCAAAGGAAGGGAATACCTCTTCTGTGAGGACAGGCTGAGGGAGCTGGGGCTGTTCAGCATACAGAAAAGAAGGTTGTGAGGTGACCTGAGAGTGGCCTGTCAGTATCTAAGGAGGGACGGTAAGAAAGGGGATGGATGTTTAGCAGAGACAGGACAAGGGAAAGTGGTTTCAAACTAAGAGAGGAGATTTAGATTGAATATAAGGAAGAATTTTTTTTTTTTACAATAGAGGTGGTGAATCACTGGAGCACATTGCTCAGAGAGGTGCCCTGTCCCTGGCAGCATTCAAGGTCAGGCTGAACGGGACTCTGAGCACCTGATGTAGCTGTAGGTGTCTTCTAAGATTTGTATTGGTACTGAATGTCAAAACTATCAAGTTCTCAATCTGTGGCTTCCAAAGGAAGGCTGAAACACAAATATTGGAACTCCATTTGTTATTTTAAGTACTATCTATATGACAGAAAACTTCCTTCAATGATTACTTCAGACAGCATTGTCTTCATACGCAGAGAGTAAAATGGAAAATGTATTGTTTACATGTTTGGATGTAAGAAGCATTTTGTCATCTCAGTCATTTGTTAGAGCCAGGCAACTTCATAAGAAACAGTAATCAAAGCTCATTCCTCATCTCCTGAAATGCCTCTAGTGTGAAAGACTTGTTATCCGGCAGTGTGTGCTATGTTCTCCCTACATACTGTGTCCCACAGTTCCAGTGCATTCAAACAAACCTTGAGCTCCTTTTTCTGAGTGTAGATCTGACACTGTTATCAGTAGAGAAGTATGTCACGAAAGAAGTCCTACCCGGTATGTTTTTCTTGTGTTTCTCATTGCTGAAATTCAGAAAGTATTTTTTTTTAAGTGCTGGTTTAATTGAAAGATTATTTTAAGTAATTTTTGTATTTTTGTATGGAACACTCATTTGATTTGAGTGACCTGCATGTGATTTTCAATGTTGTCATACCACATTTCTGCAAGTTATTCTCAGCAGCCGCTTCAGAAATAGGACTGTCGAGGTCATAAGATATAGTATTAATATGTCTGTGCAGACAGTGGCTGTCATCTTCTTGCCCAGAAATCCCAGTAATTGGAAAAGGAGGTGGAAAGGTTTACCTTTAATCTGTGATTAATTGGAATTTAGGTAGACATTTGCTTTAAAATCTTACAGAGGTTGTGATATGTCAAGGAATTTATAAACTGCACTGGATATACTCCACTAATTAGGATAAGTTGGCAGAAGTTACTTCTACTGTATTTAACTCAACTTCTTTTCAAATCTACTGCAGTTGTAATCTCAAGGTCCTTTTTACCTTCATTCCTCTGACACAATTTGCAGCTTTATATCATCTACTGACATTGCAGAAACAGAAGGATATGAATGCGTAATGTTCACAAGACAGCTGGGAATCACTTTTTTTCCTGTTAAAATGTGTTATTCTGCCCTAGGTTCTTCCTAAAATGCTGGGTTTTTTTCCTTTCAGGAAGATGTGGAAAGAGATGTGGTGCCCACTGTATGCTGGGGAAGAGGTGGTTAGCTGATAGGAATCGCAGAGCTTCATGCTGGAAGTAGGCTTCTCCCCTGGAGTGTTCTGCACATCCCTCTGAAGCATTCGTTTTGGAGCCTGCATGGCAGTATATTGAGACCCCCAGTCAGTCTGAGGGGATACAGTCATTTTTGGTGCTTGTGCACCATGTGAGTAAATAGGCCCTTGTTTCAGCTTCTTTACCGTAGTTATCATTGTTTGTACTGCCTGAATAATATGAGCTACTGAAATGTTACAGTCTGATTACAGAATTTGACAGTGCTTTTTGGAAGCCCTGTTATCTATTTGTGCTATAGCCAGCCAGGCAGTCCAAGGGAAGTTCTCACCTCTGCACATGAATGCAGTTCTGTCAGTGTCTCTATCTTCCTTTAAGCACTAAGTATTGGGAGAAACACTTCTTAAGAACCAAGGCGTTGGAGTACCTGCATAAATATGTGGCATCTAATGAGCATTATTGGAGGTTCCTTCTCTTTGATGTATGCTCAGAAAAGAGTCTAAAACTACCTGTGGTTTTAAGTTGAAGTTAACCACATCAAATGGTTTAACTTAGTCTCATCATTGTGATGGATGGTGACTCATTTCTCATCACAGGCTAAAATCTCAAACAACCGCTCTCTAAAAATCACTCGTACCTCTTTATCTTGCTCCAAATAGTTCTATTTCTATTCACAGTTCGGACTTGCTTTGCTCTTAACCATCTTTTTTCCTTTTTTTTTTTTTAGTTCTGTGAGCTGGCAATAAAGCCTATGTAGATCCCACATACTTTCTTTGCTAGAGAGATGAATGCTCCAGAATGGAGTTCTATAGGACAAATCCCTCGTGGAGCTGGGGAGAGCTGTCTGTAAGGCTTGAAGTGAGCTGACAGTTGCAGAAATCATTGATTTAATTAGTATGAGCTAAAAATAAACAATAGAAGGGATTTTGCCATTCTTAAAATAAGTATCTCCTACTGGGCTCCAGGGTTTTGCTTCCCCCTTCCCCCCCACTTGATGCTGCCTTGCTTTTTTCCTGTTGCTGAAGGTTATTTGCTTTTTCCATATCTACTGAAAGTTAGATGGTTACACTGAATGTTTGGAGTGGTTGTGGACACTGGACAAACAACTCTCACTGAAAATTGTCTGCAAATGTTGTGAATCCTCTAGAGAGTATAGAGAGCTGACGTGCTGGAGCTCTTAATAAACAACCTGTAAGCAAGCAATGCCTTTTAGTTTTGGGTTTGATGTTGGGTTCCTTGAGCAACTCTTCTAAAATATTCTAAGGGAAGTGTCTTAAAAGTAGGTTGAGGTTTTATGTAATTTGCAATGGAACTATACTGAACTAACAGCAAACTTCTGAAAGTCATTTTTATGTAAGTTGGTGTTGAGCTCTTAGTGCGGTGTGTGCCTGGGTGATGGTTGGACCTGATGGAGCTGGCCAGTCAGCTCTGTGGTGAGCAGGAAGCAATGAAAATACAAGAGGAGAGGGAATCCCAGCCTTCACACAGCAGGGAGGAGCACCCCTGCTTGGAGGAATTCATTTCCCAGTAAAACTGCATGGGATTGGATGTGTGCGGCTTCTGAAGGTGCAAGAGCTGAGTTAGCCCTGCTGGAATTTGAACTTTTGTGCTGAGACACTCAGAAGTCTGAGCTTTTTATACCCATCTCTCCTAACAGTACAGGAGAGCTTTGTTAGCACCTTGTAGCTTTATCTGCAACCTGTTGTTGCAATGTGAAGTCTGGACATTGTCTTCAAATTGCCTTATTTAAATTCTGAATTTGAAACAACAACATGAAAAACACCACCACACCTGCTGCTGCTTTGAAAATCCAGTTTGAAGGACACCCTGGTGAAGCCTATGCTGTACACAATTTCAGTAAAAAGAAGGGAAAAATCAACCAAACCATTGCTTTTCACGTGCTAAAATAAAGGTTCCTGGACACTTGTCTCAGGTGGTTGCATGCCAAACTGCATGTCTTCAGGCACCACTATGAGTAAAACATGAGACGGTGTGGTTGTATCTCAAGAAGTACAGCAGATCTTTGGGGCAGGTGAAGTAGAAAAAATCAATCTCTGAAGCTCAGGCACCGAGGTGCAAGGGACCATCCAACAGCCCTGCAACAGGGAAGTCTTGGCCATGGTGCATCTTCCTGAGCAGCACTCGTCTTCTGCAGAGCACCATCTTCTCCTGACATTCCCCCTGAGGGACACATGCATGCATATCAGCTGCTGTACTTTCTCTCTGGCAAGAGGATTCCTGTTGCTTAACTTGCACCCTTCTTTAGGTAACATTGGGAAGAGTGTGATAGTGTTGAGACTTCAGTTATTCAGTAAGTCTTGTGTCATAAGAGATGGCGTATGCTCAGCCTTCTACATTTGATACCAAAGCTTTATCTTTTAATAGAGATCCCATGAGATAGCTGATATGGATGGCA